TTTGTATCTTATACGCATGCTTAGGGGTGTTCGACAGGTAGAACTCGGGCACCCATCGCGGCCCATCGGTTTGGGTCGTGACAAGAATAAATCTGTAGCCTGAGTATTCTGATGAAATCCGCCTCTCCCAAGTCTGGGACAATCTCTCATGATGTACCTATTATCACCATACGGATAACAACTCCTCTGTGTGTTCGGCTGCTCATACTGAGTGTGTGCCGGATAACTGGAATAACCATTATAGAAACCCTGTGCCGGTGGTGCATTAAAAGAACTTACTGGAAGATCCCGAGTATTCTGAAATTATTTCTATGACCCCGCTGATACTAAAATGTAGAATTATTAACGACGCGGGAATACCGCAAGTCCCAGCATCATCCCATACAAATCTCAGCTCTCAATCATATACAAGTTTCAGAGAACCTTTCAATACCACATAAATACATTTCAGGCCAAATCTGATATAACACATGACCCTGCAATCTGATTGTTGATAGTGGACTCCCCATACTTGGTGCGAAGCCATATAACATATTTCGATGATCCAAAATACTAACCTTCATCGCTCGTACGACTCCGGTCATAAGACACCTCAAACCATTTATTTGGCGCATATCATCCTCGATCTGGACGACACGTGGTAACAATGGTTGAGCAACCCTGGCTCCCTTATAACCCCTCTGTTGTATCATGAACTGTTGGCGCATAGTTGATACCAAGTGCGTAATTTCATACACGAGTGGATGCAAAAGAATATAAGATATATGCTTCAAGCTGAATAAATACCGCACGATAAGGAATGAAAGAAGTGGAAATTTTCCTACTAGCTCTGTAGCCTCTCGAAGATAAGTACAGACATCTCCATACCGATCCGTAAGACTCTACTAAACTCGTTCGTGACTCGTAGAACCTAGTGCTCTGATACCAACTTGTCACGACCCAAAATCCCACCACAGGCGTCGTGATGGCACTTAGTCTCTAAGACTAGGTAAGCTGACTATAACAACAATTCAAGCCATTCTTTTTTTGAAAACATATAATTTAATACAAGTGTCAAAACCAACATCGGAAATATTCAAACAAACTCCCAAGACTGGTAATACTGAGTCACATGCTCTAACTGGATCTATGAAATGATCTCCAGGATCGAATATACAATAATGTTCGAATAATAATTAACAATACAATAAAATAGAAAGACTCCAAGGGACTGCGATGACCAAGAAACTCTACCTTGAATCCTTGCGATCAACCCACTAACTCTGCCCGAGTATGATATCTCCAATATCTGGCTCTTCACAAAAATGTGCAGAAGTATAGTATGAGTACACCACGGTCGGTACCCAGTAAGTATCAAGACTAACCTTGGTGGAGTAGTGCCGAGGTACAGTTAAGACACTCACTAGTCAAATAACCTGTGCAATATAGCAGTATACAATGGTACTGGAAAACAACTAGCAATAATAGGAAAAAAATCAACCAGGGATATAAACAGCAAGCCAACAAGAACACCATAATTATTACTCGAACGAATAAGGAACACAAGTACAATCAATTAAACATGTCCTTCAAATATAAATCTTTCACATATAATTCTTTCGAATAAATACCTTCAGAAAATATATTTCTTTCAAATAAATATCTTTCGAATATACTTCTTTCAAATAAATGTCACTATGTAACACCTCATTTCATAATCATAAAACACGGGTCTTAGCCCACCTTTATATTTTCGTAACATGGGTCTCAGCCCACTTTCACATTTCCAAGGCACCTCGTGCACTTAATTCTATCATAACTGCATGGACAACTCATGTGCCAATAATAAAATTATTATTTACTCATGCACCTCGTGCCTACATCTGATATCACAACTACACGGACAGTTCACGTGACAATATCATAATCATCATATTTCTACGGCACCTCGTGCCCACATTTCATATCATATCTGCAGGGATAAATCACATGCCAATAACATAATCCGCCCAGCAATAGCTACATGCTCACAATTTCAACATGGATCAGACTATTATCAAGTTTACCAAAACAACAAGACAAGTTTCACAAGATATAATAATAAACATAAGGAGAATCACAATATTTCACAAAACTCATCAACACATAATCCCACATCATCATATAAAAATCATCAACATAATAATACCACATCATCACATATCATCCCTGATAATAGCCACCCTTATCTCTCTTATAGCCACCCTTATCTCTTCTATAATAGCCTCCCTTATCCCTCTGCCCTAACAATATCAATAGCTACCCTTATCGCTTCTATAATAGCCTCCCTTATCGCTATGTTTAATAGAATCCCTTATCACTCCGCCCAGACAATATCCCAACACATATAACAACAGTGAAATGCCAACCTTATGCCCACATAATGTTAACAATAGGATGCCACCCTTATACGCCGCATAACAGTAACCCAAATCATACAACAATTCACACAGAATATTATCACAACAACACATCATCATCAACTCGTATTTGTAAATTTCTCGTAGGTCACAACCATTCCAAAGGTACAATAAAGTCAATTAATTTCACAACAGATAGTTCACGGCTCAACACAATGTATATAAGATCTCAAAAATAACCATAGGGATGGAAAAATAACTCATCACAGAACAACGCCTTCTTTAATCCAAATTTTAGATAAATATATAAACGCCTCAATTTAAACTTATTTAATTAATTATAATGTGCACAACATCCTAACAAAATGTTCGGGAGTGAACAACTCAACCGAATAATATTTCACAATTTGGCACTTTGCCTCAATATGATTCACGACCTTTATAATTCAATACCAAGTTTTCAACAACATGAACTGAAAAGTAATTCATCAAGGAACAACATCTCTTTTAAATCACAACATCATAAAATAATAGATTTATTCATCTTATTAACTAAATTTTTCATTTAAATTATCTGTAGATAAAATTAATAATGAAAGTACTTTCCATTAAAATGGCAACTCAAATAAACACAGAGTTCACATAAAAGTCTAATGGCAATCACACCAAATTATCATATAAAATAGAAACTCGACAAACAAGGAATGAGGCATGACAAATCAAGGATTTACTAAGTTCCAACAATTTTTTTATTTAATACATAAGGGAGTCTACGAATTTCGACCGATATAATTTGCACATATAAACCAAGTACGTACTCGTCACCTCGTGTTCATGGTTTTTAATTACACAATTTCCACATAAGACTCAATGCGTAAGGGGTAATTCCCCCACTCAAGGTTAGGCAAGATACTTAACTTTTTTGAAGTTAGGACGATATTCCAAAATAACTTTGTCACGTGAATTGACCTCCGGACGGCTCCAATCTTTCTTGAGCCTTCCTTACATTACTACGAGATTCCGAAAATTCTAGAAACTTCAATCTATCTATAAACATAACAAAAGTGAACCACAATTAGGAAGATATTCATGGTTTCTGCTCATTTGGGCATTTTATCAAATACTAGGTGTGCAAATTTGGTTACAAGGTTCTTCGACAAGATTTTCTTCATTCCACAACTCAATCTTTACTTATTTGATCTCAACAATCTTCCCACAAACCTTATTGGTACAAGTATATATACATAATACTCTTACACCTAAGAATCATACTCCAATCACCAATCTTTTACCCCAAACTCGATTTGAAGACTAAGGGTTTGAATCTTACCTCTTAGATGAAGATCTTGTGATTAGCTTCCTTGATTCTTAAAAAAAATTGTGCAAAATTGGATGATTAGAATGTTAGGTTTCCTCCTTCTCTCTCTAAAATGCTATTACCTCTCTCTAAAATATTTAGAAAAATACCCCAAAATAAGCCCCAAAGGCTATTTATCAAAATGGGGTCGGGTTATTAAAATAAGAAAATTAACCCTCCGAAATCAGGTCTGTGGTCGCATAATGGACCGCAGAATGGGTATGCGGGTCGCACAATACATCGCATAATCGATGCCTAGAACTGGGCTGCGCTGGCTAGGTCTGCTACCATTTTGCGGTTGCATAACCACTTCTGCGGCCCGCAGAATGGTTCTGCGGTCGCAGAATTGGTCGCAGAATTGCATTCTGCCAGCCTTTGGTAATTTGGTCATAACTTCTTGTAGGAGTGTCCAAATGATGAACGGTTTGAAGTGTTAGAAACTAGACTCAAAGATATTTCATTTGATAGGTAATACACCATATAACACTTTGTATCATTAGAGTTATGCTCGTTTGAAGTTAGGTCTTGTGCGAACTCACTTGAAACTTTAGTCTATTATGAAATTTCCAACTTGACTTGGAATTAGGGCTCTCCTTAGACCATAAACCATTCTTAATGCAACTCATACAAATATTATCATGATCAATTGATATCATTCATATAATAGTTCTTGTCCGCACCCAAAATAATATAATTAGCGCACATCAACTTTCTTAATAGCGTTTAATTATTCAAAATTTTCCGGGGTGTTACAATATTCCACCAATTTTATGTCTAAAAGAACACCAAAAATGACTCAAAACAAATGATTACTAAGGTAAAAAATTGTTTAAGTAGGAAACATTTTACATTGTATTTAGAAAGGCCTATGGTAAACCATGAAACCCAATATCTCCTTGTAATCCTTAACAAAGACACATAGGAACAATCACATAGTCAATTCAGACATCGCCCATGAAAAAAATACCATAGTTGTTTTGAGACAGAAAATAAATACTAGAGTAAGCATAAAATTCGTTGGAGCTTAAGAGAAGGAATATGTAAACGAGCAAGCAATTGAAACTTCGAATAACCCATTTTTTCTTTGTAGATATCTTCATTGGAGCTTAAAGATTTTTCTTAATAGTTTTTTTTTATTGGAGTTCAAAAGTTTTAAGAGCATTTTTAATTTAATCGGCACAGTTAAGTAAGAGACAAAATTAATCTTCATTTTCATATAACATAAAGTTAGCACAATGACCTTTAATCAAACCCCCAAAGTGACCAGAGCGCTCTTAAATTTCCATCATCTTATGGAAAAGAGACCCGAAGCACTCAAAGCATCTCAACCCGCAGTGCCTACCTCACATTCCTCTTTTTATCACACCTACCTCACGTTTTTCTATGACTGATAGCTGTCAGTGGGAGGAACTCTTTAAGGGAAATTTCAGTCATTTTTGTCAAATTCTGAAACTTGGCTTCATTTTTTTTTATTTGATAAGGTGGAATTTGGGAAATTCGTAAGTCATGTTGCTCTAGGTTCTAGTCTCTAAGCTTTATTTGATCTTCTCTTACTATCTGTTCTTCTTATGATCTTATTTGCTGAATTAATAGGTTTTGACAGACATCTGGCGGTGGATTGGGGTTCTTTGGTTAATCTTGAAGTTCATTTGCTGAAGCTTTTCCTGATGTTCTATGCCTATGATTCTGACCTTACTTTGTCAGGGTACTCATTTTCTGGAATCTTTTCCTTTTCTTTTCATTTTGCCTTGATTTTTTCTTAACTCTTCTTTTATTCGGGTGATAACTGAATTTCCAAACATAAAAACCAACAAAGTACTGTCGAAGTCAAATCAATTCTTTTTCTTCACTCTAATTCGGATGGCCATTAAATCTCGCTGTTGCCAAACCAGAAAGTTTGAAGACCCAATTTAGTCAAACAACTCTACTAGAAGCAATACGGAAGTTGAAAGTATTTTTATAATCTCCTAAACCTATTTTCTTGATCTGTTCAAAAAAGAACGATCCCTTTCTAAATTTTACTTAAACTTATAATTATATCCTTAATGAGAAACTTTTATAACCACACAAATACTCTGGATCCCTTTTTGACTAAGTCCATAAATTCAAAAAATCTTCATTTTTTATTAAATTCCGTGCCCAATCAAACAGAAATTCAGAAAGAGTATTTTTTAACTATCAAACTTATCCTCCAAAAGTCAAAAGACACTTCACAATCTGCGCACCACCAAAAGACAACAAAGAGCCACGACTTCAGTTCACTCCATGATCCTCCCCCTCCCCGGATACCCAACAACAACCTGCAGAATTTCTTCAGCGGGGAAAACAAGTGATAGCCAAATTATTGCTCAACTCAGCCCCATAGCATCAATATCACTAAGAGAATTCATCATAATTTCACTATTTTCATCCTACCACAATTCCTAATCCAATCTTGGAACTATCTATACCTTGCAAAGCTCACACTGGCAGAGTTATATAGCAGCCCATTAAGCAATGCAATAATATTGTGTACTTTATCTGATATTTTATATGTCAATGCCACACAAGAGGGGTGATTTGTGTGGTGTCCAATTTTCGCGTGCACTGATTATAGAAGGACCTGGTTCTTCTAAGTGTTCCTTAACCTACTGCTGCTGAAATAGTAAATGCGGAAAGTAAAGAACACAAGTATTTTTACGTGGAAGACATCCGACTCAAAAGGTGAAAAAACCATGACGTACTACTCAGTAGGATTTTCCCAACATTTCACTAAATCACTGAGCCAAAACAGCATTTACAAATATTCTTTGTAAACCTAAGGATTACCTATAATCCCATTGTGGCAACCAGTCTCTAATTGTTGCGACAACTTCAAGTTAACTCTAACTTGAATACTCAGAGTACCTATTACAATTGCCTCTAGATAAAGCTGAAAGATACAATTTGAAAATCACCTACTATAATTGAACTAGAATAAAAGACAGACACTTGAAAGTGGTTCTTCTATCTGGTTCATGTAGCTTCAGGTTCGCACACTTGAATCACACAAGAATTGTTTGCAAAATACCTTGCTATTTTGCTCTCAGCTCACGTTTAACTTCTGCTTTTGTGCATGCCTGTAGAATGAGAACATCCTGTAATATATATAGTTAGTAGAATAAGAAATAACTAGAGTTCTAATGCTACTCTTCCTTGGTGGAAGAGTTCTAGTTATCCTCAACTTCTAACTCCTCCCTTATCTTGGATAGTGTTCTCTTTGAGTAAAGAGTCCTTCTCCTTATCAAATATGCAACATTTTCGATCAGGAGATATCAGATATAACAAGTTAAGCTTATCTCCTTCACGTGCATTCCTCATGCTCAAATCTGCCCGTGGCTGTGTACACATGGGATGGACCTGGTTCATGTCTGAGCTTCCTTTGTCAATCTTCAAAACAAAACTTCACTTGGGCCAACAAATTCTCTCTTTTTTGATGATGACAAACTCTGTGCTTTTCATAAGCTTAGGCCATGTTTCAACTCAGCCCAACATCAACACAATATTAGAACATTTTACCTTTTTAAAGTCACTTATCATCAAGGACCAGGTTCATTAGATTATAAACATCATTGTCCAAAGTGAAAGCACAACCTTTCCCACCCCATTTTAGCATCATTGAAAAGTTGCATAATAATGTTAGATAATCAGATTTTAAATAGAAATTACTCATGGCCACTGGGGCTATTTCACAAGCAATCATGGATTAATCATCATATATCAATCTAAGGATATTAGCCATCTAAGAAATATAAACAAACAGTTAGAGCAAAAGACAATGAATTTCATTGATTGATAAGATCCTACCACAAAGCATAAGAAGAAATAAAAATATTTGAACATGAGCAAAAAAAACAAAAAAATGCCGAACTGGGTCACTGGTTGATCTACACTAGACTGGGAGGCTTAAGGCTGGTGCCATTTAGAACCCTATCAAGAATCTAATTTATAAACCCATGCCAATTGATTTGCCACCCACTGTCCAACCATTCCATAAAGACCAGGTGCATGAATGTGGCAATGTGCCTCCTTTCCTGCCTAGGCAGCACACATTTGTTTACAAATTCGAACATCACTTTGTGGGGTGACTTCATCTCACTTTTGTAAATAGCTTTGGGCTCAAATTCCTCTTCATTGTCACCAAATTTCCTAGTAATGGCAAGGGCAGTAGAGAGATTCTCTAGACTTGGCCATTTTAGTTTCTTATAATCATTGTACCCTTCAGCAAATACACCCAAGATCTTTCCCAGCTCTTTCTCATCAAAAGTTACTTTCACGCCCTTTACCACACTGGTGACCCTACCATCTTTTATCTCACAATTGGCCATAAACTCCACAATTTCATTTTTGTCCAGCCTGCCATCCATCTGAAGGCCCATGTCCTTCCAGCCTTGCAATTGTAACTTCTCTAAAAGCATCACCATTCCTTCCTCCTCCAAGTCCTTGAGGAGTCTGCCTTTCAAGATAGTCCTCTTTCCAAATTTGACCATCTTGTTTTTCTCAGTATCAGAATCATCTTCTTCTTCCTCTTCACTCCATTCTTCTTTCTCCACAATTTTTATTTTTCTTGATTTCATAGCAGACCTGGTTCTTTTAGCCAAAGTGGATGGTTCAGCGGACTTTGACTTTGAAATAGACTTCTTTGTGGAAGTCTTGGCTTTTTTAGCTTTAGGAGTCAGAACCTCCACTTCTTCTGTCTCATCATCATCTCGAAGGACCAGCTCTGATACCAGGCTCACCCACCTTCTTCTTTCCCTTAGCAACAACTTTTCTTTTACTTTCTCCTAAGGCTTTCTCCAGTTCAGCCTCACTCTGCTTCTTCTGACTTCTTGTGGCTCTTCTTCTTTTGGGAGAAATTTCAACAGGGATAAAAGAGGCAGCCTTCCTTTTCTTGTTTGCCCTAGCAGTGCCAGGGGTGTTAACTCCTAAGCTTCCTTTCTTCTTTGGATTGTAACTTGCAGTCACCCTTTTCAGCATGTCTACGAGAGTTTCCTGTTCAGATGGAACAGGTTCATCTACATTTTTCCCAAGTTGAACCAGCCCCTCAACAGCTTCTCCAGACCCACTTCCCCCTGTTTTTCTCACACACTCTTCTATTCCAGCAAATTCCTCACCCCAAACAACCATTGCACCTGATTCTTTAGTTAAACTAATAGGAGTGGGTGAAGAACCGACCACTCTTTTTCCCTTTCCCCTCACAGTACTCCGAGCACCCTCACTCTCTTTTTCTTTTCCTTTTTTATTTTTACCACCAACTCTTCCAGACTCAGTAGTTTCAACATCTGCCATGGATCCTACCAGCATAAACCTATTCTCCAAATTCGTAGCAACCTCAAAAATAGTTTTAGGAGTAAATTTAGGGCCAGATGTTACTTGTTCAGTCTTAGAAGAAACCGTTTCTTCCCCCTCAGTAGTAGACTTAAATGAGTCTTCATATTTCTGAGGTTCCTGGACATGGCTATCCTTCGATTGTTTATCTAATTTCTTAGATAATGCGCTCCCAGCCACAGCCTTGCGAGCAAGCGTCTTAGTTCTTCCTTTATTAGACAGAGGTGTGGTTGAAGGTGTGATAGATGGTGTGGGTGTGGTTTCCTTGGGTGGGGATGAATGATTTTCAGAAGGGTTTGCCATTTCTGAGTTTGGGAGCTTTAGAAAACGAGTTTGTGTGAGAGTAGAAGAGGAGAGAAGTTTGAGAGAATTTGGACGGCTTGAAAATTTAGAAGTGAAGAAACAAATGAATCCCAATCAATATAAAGTGGAGGAGTTCACTTGAGTAACAACAACTTTTGCAGAAGTCTAATCAAACTGCAAGTCAATTTGAAAAGACGTTCAAGACTATCCCTAGAATCTAGGCACTTAATAGCGGTTAGGACTTCTTTTGAATAGAACTGGTTTATTTTGTAACGGATAAGTCCAAAAAGAATTTGGGATTAGATGGGACTCTTCTTTTAATCATGATCCAAATATAATTATTTCAAATTATGCAGAGTGTAGAATACATACCAAGTAATCTTGATGAACCAGGTTCTTCACTGAGAAATCTCTTGTGTAAGTCTGAATTTTCCAAGAGAATAGAGATAATATCATTAGAGATTAATGAGTCATTTCAGAACATGGCACAAGAGTATACTATTGAAAGTATGAGACTGAGCAAAATCTAATCTAACTATATACAAAATTTACAGATTTTCTAACCATTTTTTTTTCATGTTTGTTTTCGATTGTGAAATTTTGAACTTGTCCTTTTAGGTGATCTTAATCATCCCTAATTCTAATCTGTTCCTTTTAAAGTGATCTCTACTTATAGCTTTTGTGAAGATATCAGCTATTTGCTTGTCAGTAGTACAAAATTTCACAGTGATCAAACCTTTTCATAGTTGTCCCTCAAAAAGTGATTCCTAACATCTATGTGCTTAGTTCTCTTGTGATGAACCAGGTTCTTGATCATACTAATTGCACTAGTGTTATCACAAAAGATGGGGATACAACTAACATCAATTTCAAAGTCCATTAATTGTTGTTTGATCCACAATAATTGAGCACAACATGAAGCAGCAATAACATACTCAGCTTCAACAGTAGATAAGGCCACATAATTTTGCTTTTTGGTGGCCCAAGACACAAGGCATGAGCCAAGAAAGTGTGCCATACCTGAGGTGCTCTTTCTATCCATAAGAAACTCTGCAT